GATGTACAGAGATCACCCTATTTGGCCGCAACAAACCCCTCACAGTTTTACACGGAAGGTTTGTACCGGTAACCGACGGGTAAAATTCCCCACGGGGTGCAGTTCTATCGAGGTCATTTTGTCCGCTTGGCTGCTGTCGGGTCGCGTGATGGATCCAACCTGTCACGCTCGGCTTGAACCTGGTTCAAGACCCGCACGTGTTCGACCTTATTTGAATTAACCAACAAGATTAGTGGGCCTTGTTACCGCGGCAGGATTTTTCACCTGGCAAAGTGCATTCACCTGATCCCAACATTGTAAGAATATTGTTTAAAAGTACTTTGTTTCGTCTACCCCCTAAACGCAATGTTATATATCAATTGACCGGTCAACAACGAGAGGGAAGTGGTAACTCGAAGTATGTTATACACATCACGTTGTGCATGAATTTTGAAATATACCCAGCCGCTCTGTGAACGAATCGATTGGCAATTTCTTTCTTCACTGGGAAACTCGTTGTGATTCACTCTAGATAGATAGATAGATTGATTGATTAATTGATTGATTGATTGATTGATTAATTGATTGATTGATTGATTGATTGATTGATTGATTGATTGATTGATTGATTGATTGATTGAGTATAGCGTTCGCTCAATGATCGAGTTCCCCCTGGAAATGTTTACTAAAACAGTAATACTACCCCTGTATTCTCACGTTTCAAGTTGCTAACGGATACAGTTTTGATATATCACTATTCTCCCTCCATACCAATCATTGTTTTTATACGCAATTAGTTATACAAAACCACCTTACACAATATATGTATTTGCAACAACGGATATTTTTTAAATTTTGACATTTATTTAGAGCAAGTCCATTTATGAAGCAAACGTAACTTTAAGCGTCTTTATGAGATATTTTTACAATAATTAGTACAAGAATGACAAAAAGACACGTTATGAGTGCATGTATATGAATGAAATAATAAATTATTGTGGAATACACATACCTGATGAGCGGGAAGAACCGCGAAATCGGTCCAGGGCTTCCAGGGAAATTTTGGTGAGTTATTCATATATTACTTATGGCATATATGTGTATATTGGAATAAATCATCATAGAGAAACTTAGTCATGCCCATCTAAATTCGATAATAGGTAAATTATAAATTGTTTTGCAGACCGAAGTGCATATAAAAGCGGGCAAAGCAATGAACTCGGATATTTCCGATGACTATTCAATTAAAATATGGCACAATACAATTTTAGGGTTTTCACACCATGATTTCCTTGCTTTGAACTCTGTTAATTTTTTATTGGTTCTACCAGGTTTGTTAAGTTCGGGGTAACTCCGGTCTCTGCATGTCTAATACCGTTGCACTATGTTCGCCGTTTTCTCAAGAATCAGAACGAGGAAGTGATGATAACAGGATAGTTGCGAATTTAATTTTGATGTGCACATTCGACCATTTTGGTGTGAAAAGAAGAAAAGGATGTGAACCCGTACGATTCACATTCGGGTCGACGGGAATCGGTGATAAGGCAGACTAAATCAAAATCCCCAGGAGTACGTGTACTGAGAGCTGTGCAGCAAATACCTCGGCAACCCCACGCCCGCCCACCCGTCCGCCCCGCCCCGTAATCGAGTCAGAAAAAAGAGAGACGATGTGGTTTCAGTCTTGAATTCCGCCGCGGTCAGAGTGGGTTGAAAGCCAAATAGGCTTGACACACCGTGACCAGAGGAGGTGAATTGGAGTGAGTAAACAGTTTCAACCGAACAGACCGATAGACCACATTTCATTCGAATCGGTTTGATGCTTGGAAGAAAGAAAGAAATCGTACTGAGCAGATAACAGAAAGATAAACCATAAGCTACGGCTCAGCGGAGGGAGAGAGTGCGGTCTTGTTTTCCGTAGCTAGTTTGGGTCAGTTGGTCATCCTGGCTGATAACCAAAAATCCAACGACCGATTTGAGGACATTCGGGCGACAGCTTTTGCCGTTTATCCGAACTGAGATGAATGGGCGTGCATGTTTGCAACACGATACAGCTGCCATACTCACGTCGTGCACTATCAGAACGAGATAGACAATTATTTCAGCGTTGATGAGNTTTTTCGCTGAACTAAAGACTGCTTTTGACACAGTGAACTACCACATTTTGTTGGGACACAACACACGGGCGGTATGAATCGATGTTCGAGGACAAAGAAAACAGACTGGCTTCATTTAACTGACGCAAAAGAAGAATGGTACTAGCCCAAAACTTTGTCGCACCCTGAAATTATGAGTGATTTTTTATAAAAGTTCCAAACCAAAATAAATTCAGCTTTTCTTATTTTCCGTGGCTTGCCTGACTATTGTGATATTCCGATTCATAAGGAGCCAAATAACGTATATGAACANGAACATATCTATTTATTTATAATTCACTCCCTTGATCTATATCCTCATCAGTCGTCAGTAAGATCCGTTTTCCCGAATCCCAAACTGTGGTAGCCACCAGGATCTATGTATGACCTCATTTGATCATAATGGATTTAATCAAGTGGTGAATTTCGTCTTGCCAAAAGCAAATGAAACGAACTAAAAAGGCACTGATGAGACCGAATCGGGTCGAACCAGCTGCTCAGCACTGCCTAGCTCTGCACCTAATACCTCATTTGCTCCTTTCCGGCACAACAAACTTCACCGTTGGATCGAACTACTATCATGCAACTTAATGGATTTATCTAATTAAAGGTTTCAAATTGAACAGGACTGCATGGTGCCATATGTTTTTCATAAGTGAACTAATCATGAAAGTCAGATTTGGAGCTATGGGTGTCGTGTCACGTGTTATTTTTCTCCTTTCATACGTGTGTGTGGCGCGATAACCAAATGGAGCAACTTATTAGCACCGTTGGGAAAATATTGGTTATCAAACGTTGTGATGTGATTCATCCGACCAATTTCCCTTTGAAGGTGGCCTCAAAAACATAAAGGTAGACAACAAAGTGACTGCAGAGTCCGAGTGCTGCCTCAATATACAATTACTGGGTATGTAGGAGACGAATATTTGAGCTATAGTCTGGGAAAGATTTGTGAAAAGTGGGTCAAATTTTACCATCCGGACTCTTCAGCTTAAAACTACCAGATCCGTCAGACAGGCCAACTAGTAGCTAGCTCATCGTTTGTTCTCCTTCTGGGGGCTCTTTGGAACCGCCTAGTCCGTCCAAATGAGGTCTGGGATTAAAAAAAGTTACAATCCGAGATAATTGCTTCAATGATCTAATTCACTAGGGCAAGTTGACCACGTTGATGTGAAAACCCAGAAGCTGGCAACGGAATACTAACCACCAATGGTCAGGATCTATTGTCTCTCAGAGGTTTTGATAATGAAATAGCACATTAGAAGTCCTGGTCTGGAGGGAGAGATTATCTAGCGACCATTTCCATTTTGCATTTCAGTCCAGCAGACCATATTTTCTGTGGTTATGAACGGATCGGGTCAGGAACAAGTGTGAGAAATTATTTTTCAAATAAAATTTAGTTGTCCCTATCCGATTCAATTGGTCTGCACAACCAGCAGACGGGACTGATTTGATCCGAAACCGTATGAAGCGGTGGTTTGTGTTTTTGTGCTCTGCTTTCTGTGCAGTTAACGGCACCAAATATCTTCAGATCCACTGACCCACTGATCGAAAATGTTGGTAACAAGACAAACATACTTTGTTTTGGGCGTCCCGTCTTCGATACTCATCTCTATTGGATAGACGGAGCGGGGCGGTTTAGAGGGTAGATTGATATCGGATAAGAGCACGGGAATGGTTGTGTGGACAAACGATATGTGCAATAATGAAGAAATACACAT